TTTACCTTAAATATAACACGTCATTTTGTCTAATTACATTTCGTAAATGTATAGTCAAAATAATAGTTTGAAAATTATTTCACTGATTAAAATTAGTTTTTAACATTTAAATTTAATAAACAAGCTTTCAAATTTTGACTGCGAAAACTTTAATTCAAATTTTTTTTCCTTTTAGAGAAATTAAATTTACATTTAGCGACATCGAGACATTAAATTCATTTACACCGAGACATTAGTTTTAGGCCAGCAGATTTTAGAAAGCCTTTTTGTTTAATATGTACCGAGTTACAGAATATTTCAGAACAAAAATTACCATCATAATAATTTTTTTCGTGATAACTAACAAATTTTAAAACAATATATCGGGGAAATAACGTTACAATATCACCAAATTACAATGTTTTCATTTACCCATTTTAAATATATAATAAATGTCAATTTCAGCCCTGAGAGTATACTACAGTTGAGTAAGTTTCAGTTTATTTTAGTAGTGATTTAAATAAACGAAAAGACAAATACGGAGTGACAAATAATAACTGCAATTTTAATGTTTATTAAAAAAAGCATCATTACTTCTAATAATGAAGATGAAAATATTTCTTCCTACAACATATAACAAAGTTTTAAAAGTGTCCTCCTCTTGCCTTATTTAAGAAATGCAAACAAGAAAAATTGGGAAAAGAAATAAAATTGGTGCACAGTAAAAAATTCCGGATCAAATTACGGTAAAAAGTGGCGGCACTCAGGGTGCCAATACTTTTTACCTTAAAATCCATTTTTTCCGTAACATTTTACGGAACAAAAAATCTGATTTACCATAATTTTTATATAACGTAATATTTACTGTAAAATCACTGAATCAATGTAATTAGATAAATATTATTATACGTAAGTAATACTTTACTGAAAATTTATCATTCTTTATTAGAAGCAAATACCTACCATTGTTTTTTTTCAGAAAATTTTCGTCTAACTCGTTTCTCATTCCTTTAATTCGAAAACTTTTTGATGAAACAATATAAAAAAACATATTTAATTAAAAATGTTATTGATGTGGTTTATAATTTTTGAGTTATTTTAAGTCAAAGCTGAAATCTCATTTTCGCCGAGTAATTCAGTTTAGCAAAAGTTTTCAGCTGGGGAATTACGATTTTTTTGAAGCCACATATCCCCATGTATAAAAAAGAGTAAGATGTCTCTCCTTGCTCTAATTACGAATTTTGGAGGAATTTAATAGCTTGCATCAACGTTTTATTTAAAGATATTTTCGTTGTAAAAAATGTCGCAAAAAAAATTTTAATTTTTCTAGCAATAGTGAAAATGTAATGAACCCCTTGATTTCTTAAAACTACCTGATACTACAGAATTTGTACATTTCTTAAATTTTGATTGTTTGCTATTAAACTTAAAGATTTCAGGTTAAATTAAATTTCGTATTTTCACCCTTTTGAAAATTTAACTTTCTTTTTACCATTTCGTATTTTTTACACGTCCTTTAGTTTGAAGGTTATTTCCTCTCTGTCATCAGATAATTTCAAGAACTACAAACTTTAGGTTGAAGAGTTTTGTACAGAATGATTCCCTTGCGAGAATGTTTTGATTTTATTGTATTTTTATGATGCCTTGAGCAAAAAGCTGACAAAAAATCAATTCCTGACACGTTATAAGGAATAAATTTTCAATAAAAAGATATACAATTTGGTTGTAAAGCCATACTTTCAAGTCGGAATGGACAATACCCTTTTTTATTATTTAAAACAGTTATATTTAAATATCTCTAAACATTACTCGAAATAAAATACTAAGCATAACTATGTTTTATAATACAACAATAAGAAAAAATGAATTATTAAAAAAAAAATAATAAAGGAGATTATAATTTCATAGTCATAACAAAATATCATAACAAAAATCTTTGAAACAGATTGAAATTATTGTCCGCCGTTTTTAAACAATTATTGAAAATAATACGTGCATTATGCAAACAAAAAGGCAAAAGAGTTTGGAAAAATACTTTTCAGAAATTTTGATTATTAGTTTATCATTGTATTTAATTCAATGAACGCTCAACATCATATCCTTATATTAGTAAACACAGTTCATAAAAAATAATAATAATTATAATAATTTCTGATTTTTTAATTACAAATCAATTTTTAATCAATCATACAATAGAGCAGAATTTGACTTCAATACTGAGAAAAAAATATGGTTAAAATTACCTGGAAATGGTACAATTTACTGTGTTTCTGGAACACCAAAATGCTCGGTACTTTCTACTGAAGTAAAATTAACAATAAAAAAGTTTTCTATAAAATATGTGTTAAGTTTTGGTCAATGTGGTATAATTTGGTTGTTTTATCATGATACCTTAGAGCATGGAATAAAAACCATATCGGTTAAATTTGCTTTTCCGGTTTGTACTTTTTTTTTAATTGTGTGATAATAAAAACTGTATTTTTGAAATCTAGAATTTTCAGTAAACCGTTACCACATGAACAAAAAAATAAACAAATAAATGGTTTAAATACCGTATATTTTCAATTTTTATTACCTTAATTATGGTTTATTTGACTAGAAATGTCATTAGCATACAGTATGATAATTTCACTAGAATTTTTTTCTTCGTGTATAGAGTGTTCCTTATTGGCTACTTTTTATATATATTTTTGAAAGCCTTTACAAAATGAAGACAAAAAAGTCTACACTTTCGGAATCTAAAACAAATTGCAGATTCATGGAAAATTACAAATTAATGCTTAAGCAAGTAAAAAAAAAACGCTATAAAATTGTTATCATCTACTACTAAGGAAAATTAATGAACAAAACATCAAATCCTGTTTGATTGTCTGAAAAACAGAGATGTGGTTAAAGACGATTATTTGAATCTACTTTAAATACTCTATAAATATATTTTATACACTTTAAAAAGTTTACTATTTTTCAGAGAAGCGTCTTTCTTTTTTCTCGATTAAACAGATATTCTTCGAAGAAATCACACATGCTCTGCTACTGGTACCACCGCAGAAAATGTGAAATGTTATGGGATTCCGATCTAAAAAGTATTAAATATTGTACCTTAAAGTATTCGCTAATATAGGAAATAAATTGCATTTTATATTTTTTATTTTAATGATGTATGTCATGAGGCGCAACTTCACCAGATATTTAAATTAAATTATTTGACATTGAAAATTGATTTATCGGTTTTCTAGAACTTTAGCGAACAATATCATCGCATGAAAAAGTAACTTTATTTTGTTAAACTCTGCTCAAATTCTGCATTACCATATATTATTAAAAACAGCGAGTTTGTTTGATTAGTTTTGTAACTTTGATACATTTTTGCAGTTTTGTCTTGGAATTTAATAACCAAAAGTTGTTCTTTCTTTATATTTTTTGCCAAGTTTCTTTTTACGAGAGAACAAAATTTCATTTTCTGAAACAGTGTGTGGAGGTGAATTTAAATCTGTTTTTTAAAGCTCCCACAGAAGGGTATTGCAAAATTTTATTCTATACTAAGCTATAAGAAATTCAAATACTTCCAGATATCGCAAGTAGTTGTATAATAAAAAATAAAATATGTAATGCCAAAGATCTTAAGATGGATACTATTTTTATTTCTTACTCTTGAATAATTGTAATTTATGAGTACATAATTGAAATTCTTTTATAAAATAATCATTCGCTAAAATTGAACAAATGTTTCATGTTTAGTAGTTAACATGCTTAAAAAGGTTTGACCATTATGAGAATGTTACATTTATGTAAATTTTCAGTTCTAATAGGAATCACGTAGGAACATTTGAATATACAAGTAGTAACACGAACACATGCAGAAATTTTCGTTTTACACAGTGAAAAAAAGAATGGTGAAACTACCAGAAAATGGTAAAAGTTCCCCTGTTACTGACTCTATGGGAACACCAAATAGCTTAGTTATTCTTACTAAAAAGATTTGGTAAAATTAACCGCAAAATAACGTTTTATAATATGTGTCAAAACTTGATAAGTGTGATAAAGTTTGATAGTTTTATATTATACCTTAGAGCATGGCATAAAAATTACTTATTCGTTTAAATTTACTTCTGATTTTGTTTTTACTAAATGTGTTGTTTGTTTTTACTGTAATTTTAAATACCAGAAATTCCGGTTAACCGCTACCATATAAATGAGGAAACTACCAAGTGAATGGTTTAAATACCTTATATTTTGGTTTTAAGAACCAGAACAATGATATTTCGTCTACCAGAAATGTCGTTACCATACAGTATAATAGTTTATCAGAGTTTTTTTCTCCGTTTACGCTCAAAGAAAAAAAAACAGAAATAATAAGAGAAGTATTTTAACAACAGCCAATTATGAGGCAGGGGTTCATGGATGCTAAGGCTAAGTAGAAGTAAATTTATTCATGCTATTATAATGTAAAAATAATTAGTGGTTAATTTTGCATAGATTTAATTAGATTTGTTTGATTGAAAAAAAAACTTCAATGCATAGGTTTTGTAATATTATAAGTAATTAAAAAAGTATCATGCTTTGACCTTATCTAAGATATCTAATTCACTTTTGTTGAAGTATCATTGCAATTTTATCACTTGTTTACCTAAAACAATGTATGAGCTAAACAATGCAAAAGATTGAAATGTAACTCATATAAATATTCTTCTTTATTTTTATCAATGTTCTGGTGTTTCTGATATTAAAAAGGAAAAGGAATTATGTACATAACACGCTTTGATAAATTTTATTCCACATGATACCTGAAAATCTTTCAGGGCATATAAATAATATGTAGGGAAACCTTAGCTGTGATATATTCTTGAAAGTTTTGGAAACTATGATTCGAATAATAATTACAAATAATGGATTTAAGCAGGTAATTTTTTAACAAATGTAATGTGAAATGTACCACACATTTATGCAATTCCATTTGAAGAAAAATAAGATTTAATTTTCATTATTTTGAAGTTTAAAAACTTATGAATGCTTTTTTTCAGGCCTCTATAATGGTTGTATTAAACTTCATGAAATCGATCAACTTTTTACAGCCAATTGTGCTCCATTTGTCACTAGTTTCAGCATGTCCTCTGATGATTTTCCGAACTTTTGGAAAGCTGCACTCGTTTTATTTGTTTGCGGCTTAGGCTTGCTATCATTCACACTTATCACATCTTTATCATGTTGTTGTATACGAAGTGTTTTTCGAAAATCCATGTTTACTGTATCTGGAACTTTGCAAGCAATTGCTGGTAAGAGTTTAAAATATATTTTTAAATATTGTCATCTGTATTATTTAGATAATTTTAATATGCGTGTTTTAATAACTTAGTGTTAAAATTCAATTAATATCATTTATAATTACTTCTGACTTCGATGAGGAGTTAGTTAAAGTGTTTTGAAATCACAGCTCTTATTTTAATCAATTGAGAGGTTCTTGTTAAAGAGGAACTCAACAAACCTACAAACTAAAGGTCATAAATTAAAATTTAAGCAATAATAAGTAAAATTTTGAGGAAAATAGGTTGCATCAGTTTTTTTTTTAAAAAAAAGTATTGACAAGTAAAATAAATCAACTAAAACAGCTGGTTGGTTGAAAAAACTAAACGGTAAGACTAGAAAACAATTTACCGCCCTACGTGTGTAGCCTATAATGATTTAATTTTTGAAAAAGATTTTAGAAAAATTTATTAAAAATGGTGTTTACAGAACAATCTGTTTCAGGTAAGTTTAAACTTTTCTTAGTGTTATGCAATTTTAAACAAGTTATCTTCAATATTCCTTTAAGTTTAAAAGTTATATTTATACTCTTTTGTGTGAAAAGTTTTTAGTTTTAATTTTCTTCAAATTTGTAAATATAATTACTTTTAGGAAAATTTTTATGAAAAATTGAATAAGAATTATGAAAATATTTTTTATAAATAATTGAATTTTCTTTAATTTATAGAATTTTATAAGCAAATTACCGAAAATACTATGTGCAAAATAATTTCATTCGTAGTATTTATGGGGTTAAATTTATATGTTGAATAAAAATATATGTTGTAAATTAAAGCAGATATTATGCATATGTATATTAGAGAACAGTGCTTATGAACTCTTATCTCAATCGAATGGTTGTTAGCTTATCTGTTAGTGTTTTCTGCTATGCTAGAGGCCACTTTTGTTGTCTTCTTTATGTTAAAAACTTTTTTTTAGGAAAATGAACTTTTTTGTGAGAAGTTATTTTATAAGTAAATAAATTTCAAGGTGGTTTCTTACGATAAAATATTATTAATAATTTTTGGTGTGTAGGTTGTTCAGCAATCACCACTCATAAAATATGTTTTTAGAATTCCTATTAAAAAATATTTAAAAAAATTATTGGAAATTAATATTTAATTGATGATAAACATAACGACTTTGCAATTAGTCGAATCACTAACGCGGAACATGTGACGAAGAAGACAGAAACCAATTTGATTGCCTGTTTAACTTGGAGGTGCTTGTTTACAATTATCTTTTGTCGTCTTGTTTTTCTCTCAGGCAATCAAACAGGTATTGATGTTTTTTTCCGGCCAGATATATCTTGGAATCTGATAGCGCTTATTTTTTGTCCTCACTCAACTATTAATTTACGTTTTCTAATGAGTGCATTATAAGATTTTTTTTTAATCTCAGAACGATGGCCGTTAATCTATACAGTCAGCTCCCATCTTTGACAGAAATGCTTAGTGCCCGTAACTGTAACGAGCTTTCACAAAATTCGTTGACCATTAATTTATGCGGCTATTATCTAACACTTCCTAACGCAATTCGGGTATGAATAACCTCTTTCATAGTGGTTACAGAATCTAGCTACAGACAAAAAATCACAGCCGGCATCAAAGAACATCTCTCTTTCAGTTCCTCTAATTGGTGATCACGGACAACAAAAGCGCAACTCTCACACTACTCGACAGATGGCAGCACTACACTATTTTGCCTCGTTTTACGATTTGTCTTGATTTGACTTACAAATTATCCAAGTCTCAAACAACGTCAAAGCCTGATATCAGTCATACCTTATCATTATTATAAAATGTCATAATTTAGTTAGCCAAGTTTCTTGTTTTTAATTATTCTTAGATAATGAATAATTCTTCTTTCCATTATTAATATTTATATATATATATATATATATAATTTAAACACTGTTAAATTATAAATATATATAATTTAAACATTTTTCAATTAAATGCAGATTTTAAGACCTGCTCTTCATTTTAATTTCAATAAAGACATGAATAAAATCTATTTCAAATAAATGTATAGTTTCACAGGCTTTTTTAAAAAACTGACTACACTATTGATTTATTTATTCATTTTTCTAGTTTCGTACTATTTATTGCTTAAATATTAATTATTATTATTAACATAATATAAGATTAACTAATTAAACAATTTCTCATAACTCAATTAAAGATATTTTTCAACAAAATACTTTTCAAAACTTCAAATAAATTATTTGAACTGTTCTTACATGTTCTAAATATATATTTGGCATTTTGACACTAAACTATGCTACTAAATATTTTTCGATCTAGTTTTGCATAGTTTATTCCAGTACTTTTCATTTGATGAAAAAAAATTTGGCAAATAAAATTAAACGAAAGGCTTAACTTTTCATTTCTGGAATATTAAAATAAAGCCGTGACTTTCTTTAGGTTAGTCCATATCTAACAATGAAGCCGATGACATTTTTCCAGATATCTCATTTGAAAGAAATCCAGAGTGGATATAATTGTCAAATTCAAGTTTTCATTAGAAATTTTCTTACTTTCAAAATAAAGAGGTTTTGTTTAAAATGAAACTATTTCAGAAGTCATTAAATTATTCGTATAAAAAAGGCATAATAAAAATCCTAAAAATTCGGACATTTTTTAAGCATTTAAGAGTTATATTTTTTGTGATTCTTTCAATTATTTTGAAGAAATATATGTAATCTAAACATTTTTCCATTAAACGCAGAGTTTAAAACCTGCTATTCGTTGTAATTTTGATAAAGGCACGAATTAAATCTATTTCAAATGAATGCACAGTTAATTAAATCTATTTCAAATGAGTGAACAGACTTTTAAAAAACTGACTACTCTATTGATTCATTTGTACATTTTTCTAGTTCCGTAAAATTCATTACCTAATTATTATTAATGTAATAAATAATTAACTAATTAAAACATTTTCATTCCTCAATTCAAAATATTTTTATTAGAACTTCAAATAAATTATTTCAACTATTCGGATATGATATAAAATATATTTGGCTCTTTGACACTTAACTATGCTACGAAATTTTTTCGATCTAGTTTTGCATAATTTATTCCAGTACTTTCTCTTTGATGAAAGAAATTTTGACAAATAAAACTAAACGAAAGGCTTAACTTTTCATTTCTGGAATATTGAAATAAAGCCACGGCTTTCCACAGCTAAGTCCATTTCTACCAGAAGCCGATGATATTTTTCTAGATGTCTCATTTGAAAGAAATCCAGCGTAAAATAATTTCCGAAGCACGCATGCAACTGAGGAAAAAGCTCTAAGAGAAATCGATTTCTTACGTCACCATTAGTCATTCAAAAAGTCTGGTTCAAATCATGAAGAAGCGAAGATCGAGAAAATGATAGGTTTTACTTTTTATAATAATTCTTCCAGGAAAAAAATAGTTCTTTGGCAAAGAAAAGTTTTCCGCTTTTTAATGACTTTAAAAAAATTATTATAAATATTCAAAGCCGGTTTGATTATTCCAGTGTCCTTTCAATTCCATCTTGTTTGATCACTTGTAAAAGTTGGGTAACAACTATTTCAATTGGGTTTGTTTACTTATCTAGTTGAAAAAAATAATGAAAAAAGTTTATAATGGTAATGCTATAAGTATTAAAAAATAAATTACACCAATTTATTTCATTTTAAAAAAGAATAGTTAAAAAGCTATTAAAACAAAATTTTTTTTAAAATTTTGTTAACACTGAAACCAACTTATACATAATGACAGAAATTATGTAACAAAATTATTAATTACAAGCAGCAAATTTTATTAAATTTGTAGATTTGTGTCATAGTGATGACCCTTACAATTAGGTGAGAGATTGTAAGCAAATGAATTTTATTCTGTTTTATAACCAACGTTGAACATCCAACCCAATTCTGAGTTCATGACGTTCAATGATTAGCTTCGTAGTCATGTAATTTCAAACCCAGCCCAGAAGACAACGGAACTCCTGGATCAGACATTGAGGCAAACTAACCTTCGTGCAGTACTTTTTTGATGAAACCAACCCACATTTACGTTACAGGGAGAGGAAAACCACGAAAATCTCCCACGTTTTAAGACAGCACTTTCGAAATTATAAATAAAAAATAAATAAATAAATAGAAAGCATAGCAAATATAATAAAAGTTCCTTAGTTTATTTGAAACATGTTTTTCAATTTTTAACGCTTCAGATATTTATCAAAAATATTTTTTAACGAAAGAGAAAATGTTACACTTTTATTTATAAAGCATTCAATATTAGATAAGTTAATAAATAAAGCAAAAATACAAAATCTGTGAAAGTTCCTTTTTTTGTTTCACTAAAACAGCAATTCTACCTACTGTAAGTTCAAATTACGAGTCTCAAATTACTCAAGTTCCAGACGGATTCGTTAGCTTATTGATCATTTAATTATGCTCTATTCACATCACTCTGGTTCATGAATTCTTTAAAAAATGTTGGTTAAATTTAGGTTTTCAGTTATTTTTATGTAGCACCATAATACTTGTATTTTTAAATCACATTAATGTTATAACTAAAATATTATATCTAAACTAAGAGTTTTATTGTTTTAAAAACATGCATTAAATTTAAAAACAATGTTTAGAAGAATTTTTTTATGAATAGCTATAAACTATAATGCATACAGAGCTGAAAAACTATACTCAGGGAATACCACTTTCATGTTTTATAAGTCAAAAGCGAATGTCATCGGTCATTCTTTTAAGCCCATAACCATTAAGGAAATGAATTATTGATGACGTTAAGTCTGGATTTGTTGGCTAATTTCATAATGTTGGCTATTTTTATGAGAACAAAGTATTTCTGTTTTTTTACCTGGTATCTTTATAGTGCATTTAAATTTTTCCGCAACCATAGAATAAAGACAACGTTTTTACAAATGAAATGAATAAAAATTGATTGCTTTAATGCAATCATATTTTTAATCTTGAGAATTATATGAAGAAATGAAGAAAATTAAACTAAATTAGGAGCCTCAGAAAATGTTATGTACAAGAAAATATAGCAAAAGAGATGCCGAGATATTTTATTTTATGAATCGATTATTAATATAGTTTATTTTTAGCCTTAATTTTATTGTACTGTGTTGGCACTTTTGAATTTTTCATTCTATTTTCAAACATTTTGATTTTTTTTTCTTTTAATTTTTTTAAGGTTCTGATTTCAGAAATTGACAATATTTTTTTTCTCTTTTTTTGTTGTTGTGAAAAATTATAAAGTAAAAGGAATTAAGGAATTATGCAGCAATATTTCGTTTTCAAAACATCTAAAAATATCTTTAAATCTCCAAATTCAGAAAAATGAAGTTTCATTTAAAAAAATAAAGCAAAATCAAGAAAAAAGATTTCTATAGCATTAAACCTAAAAATAAATAAATATGTAACTTAAAATAAATTCTTATGATTGAAATATTTATTTTATCTATAAAAAAAACTGCATTTTATTGTAAATAAATAAAAATCAATTTTGAAAATATTGTTTTAGATATTTCACTTTTTCTGACAATTTTGGCTTAAAACGTTTTGGGCTCTAATTTTAACGTTTCTGCTTTAAGTCGATAAATCTTTCGTGTTTTTAGTTTAATTATTCATTCAAATCCCTGAAAATATTGTTTTTAAATAAATGTCAAAGGTATTAAAATATTCAAAACAAAAAGGGAAAACCTAAAAGCTGTAAATATTTTATTTGAATAAACATTTTATATTTGTTACGAGAATTTCAAATTGAATTTCTTCTGTACAAACAAATTCCAGATTAATGCTGGCGTTATTCTAACAATTTAATAAGATCTGATTTTGTTTTATGAAATGTTTTATTTTGGAAAAAAATTCAGTTCCCCGGATACTTATAGAAGTATATTATTTTTGAATATATTTTTGGTTTCAAAAGAGAAATACTTATATTCGTAACATTAAAATTGTATATTAACCTAAATTTTGCTATTAAATATGTATTTATTTTTAGTTACAATAAAAATTACATAAATAAAAATTGCAAAATGGCATGTCGTTTATTTATTTAAAGCCATTACAGAATAAATAAAATATTTTGAAAATTCTTAAATGCAATGTTTTTATACGTTATGATAATTATTTAATCTTTTTTTAATTCGATTTAGAAGTTTTAATGTTAATGCATAACTTTAAATGTAACTAATGAATTTTTAAAGATTACGTTAAACATCATTTTTAATGTTTAATTGAATTAATATTTCTTCATGGCTGTTTTTCTCATTATGTTGTAAAAGATTGATTTTTTGTGTGCAATAGTTTGGATATTTCAAATCTATATTTGTCTTATGCTTAGTTTTAAGTTCTATTTATTTTAAACACAGAAAATACAATTGAAGTTTCAGATTTGAATACTTTCCAGTTAATTTCATGAAACTAATTATTTAGGTTCAAGATGCAAAAAAAATAATAATAATATGTGCATCTAAGAAGAAGGATAGGGCATACTTGTGTTACGTTGATTAACGACGTGAATAATATACAGCATTATTTGTGCTTTATTACATTGTTTTTGACTTTAATCTAACATTTTAATGATTTAATACTTTCTTACTACAATGGTTCTGGACTTTTTAGCTCTGAGTATTTCTTGCACTTACCATTGAAGTGCCATATTGTTAACATATATATAACTAAGGAAATCAAAACCGAAACGGTTAGTTTATTCAATTTTTAGTACCCATTTTCTTCATTAATTTTTTTAATTTAAACATGAGTTAACAGTTATAGTTCAAAACCTATCTTTTTCAGAAATAGTACTACAATAAAGTTAAAAATATAGATAACCAAGATTCTAAATTTAATAAAAAAAATTAAACTTGCAAAATTTACTTTCTCATGCTTAGTTTTTAAGTGCTTAGAGCTTCAATTTGCATTTTTTGTAGTTTTGTTGTTCTGAGTTAAATGTCACTATGCAAATTAAAGCAGGTTAAAAATTGCGATTCGATAATTATTTCAAAGTTGAAAAAATATTGAAAAATTAAATTACATGACACTTGAGTTAGCAGACTTATTTGGGATCTATCTATTTTCTATGGTGAAATAGCATGACTCTACGCTTATTAAGGTAATATATATATATATATATATTGATNATTTATATATATATATATATATATATATATATATATATGGAGTTAACTGTTAATTATTTTAAAATTTTGCACACGGATAAAAAAATACTGTGCAATTACTGTACTGTGTGTAATGACCTAACTGATGAAACCACAATTCTGTTTAATAAAAGTGAAATAAATGATATTTAAATCATTCAATGGGTAATTTTTCGTTCATATGGTAACGTTTTACCGGAAGTTCAAGATTTCAAAATTATTGCTCCGATTACCACACATTCGGTAAAATAATACAAAGCTCAAAAGTAAATTTATATAAATAAATGGTTTTTATGATTTAAGGTATTATGATGAAATTACCAAATTTTATCACGTAATATAAAAATTATATTATGTTATATTTACCAAAATCATTTCTAAAGCCCTGTACGAAAAAAGAGCTTTTCGGTCCCTGAGAGTTGGAAAATTGTAAACTTTACAATTCTGGAAATCTTGACCATTATGTTTTTCTCAGTGTAAAATATAGTTTAAGGCAACATACATTTATAGATAATTAAGCATTTAAAAACCACATATATCATACATGTATCACGTTATGTAAAAATATTGATAATACTTAACTCAAAAATTTTATTTGCCATTGTTAGAAATGTTTTCAGCAATATTTGAATTAATGAAAAAAATCATAATTACGAATAATTTAGCTTAATGCTTTAAAAATGAATATGAATTTTTAATTTTAAATCTATCGATGCACCTTAAAACATTTTACATTATTTATCAGAATTCACGTGGTAAATTTTACTCCTTTCATTTTTAATGAGAATTTTGAACAGTTTCCGGATTATCATAACATTTTGTGTTATTTAAAAGTCAAAGAATCTCTTATTACGGAGAGATTATATTCTTTAAAAACTCTTCATTCCTTGTCAGATTATAATCAAGTTTCTGAGTTTGGATCAATACGCTTATTATCAAAATATTTTAATTTGCCGCTTTTGGTAAATGAAGGATTAGCTCTCTGTTAATTTATGCCTCATAATTTCTCATTTGTTCAATTAAATTCTATTATTTTCTAAACAAACTTTTAATGCATCATGACTAAACTGTTTTGAAAGTTGTATTTTAATCTATTATTATTTTAGCCCACAGGCGCATACAATAATTAATTATTTACTTATGCATGAAGAAATATAAAATGTTTCAATTTTTTTTCTTCCTGTGATTTTACGTTACGTTAGTGATTCAGTGATTTTAAGTTATTTATTACTGTAAAAATTATACTATATTAGATTCTTCGTTCTGTAACATGTTCCAGTAAAGAGTACCCACATGCTGAGTGCCGGTACTTTTAATCGTAATTTGATCTGGAATTTTTTACATTGAAAAAAATATATTGCTAAATACAACTTATCTTTTACTTTCACTTTTTAAAAAATATTTAAGAATAGGTTTTTCAAGTAAAATCACTTGAAATCTGTCATTGATAACTGATGAAATAATGAGATAAAAATTAATGAAAATTTTGAAAACTAACTATAATGTTTTAATGCATGCCTAATTTTCTTCCATATTACTTTTTGCCGTAATTTTTTGAGTGCTTAGTAAATATCAATTTTCTTAATTTTTTGTAAGATAATTTAAACTATAAATTGTGAAATAATTAGTAAAAAAAATGAAGTATATATTATTTTTATTTTTAATGCAATATTGAAATTTTAAAATCATATCATTTTTTAAAAAATTTTGTATTACAATTATTCTATTCCTTTTTTAATCCTTGGTCATCCTTAGTCTCTCCTAGTCTTCAGTAATTTAAACGTATTTTTTTAATCTGAACTACAGATAAAATAAAAAAAGTTATAATAAAGTTATAATATTTATTATTCTAGCGTTAATCAATTGAATTTTGAAACTGAAAATAAATTATAAAGTGTAAGTAAATTATTTTAAAAAGTACTTTTAGCAATTTGATACAAAAATGATTAAATCTATTATGTTTTTTCATTTATTAATGTTATTAAATAGCTATTATTAATGTTATTAATGAACTAAATATTAGTGAGTATTTTGAAAACTATATCTAATATTTTAACATACGTATAATATTTTTTTCCTTTCCTGTTCTTGATTCAAATGCTTCTTTTAATTTTAAATAGTGAAACAAGTTATAGAAATATTTTCACTCTTTCAACCCCAGTTTATTAATTTTTGACTTTTAAAATGCTATTTCACTGCCAATTTTAAAAAGAAAAAAAAACATTCAAGCACATTTTTAAGTTTTAACTGTTTTATACGCTGCAACTAAACTCAGTAAAATCGTTTTATAATAAGAAACGTTTTATAGTTAGCTATCAATCAACAACTAAAAATTCTGCCCTCTCTTAGTGAAAATTTCATCTGTAATTTGCAACATGACTACGGGGTCATTGCAAGAAGCATAAAAATAAATATATGCGATATCTTAAGACGAATAAAAAAATGTCTCAAAAATATTTATTCCATTTTCTTATCTTGTTTCCCTTTTTTCTATCTTGTTTCCATTTTTTCTTCTATCTTCTAGGCATTTTGTTCATGCTTGGCTTGGTGCTTTATCCAGCAGGTTGGGGAAGTCGAAGAATCCAAATGGTTTGCAGTAACAAAACTGGACCTTATTACATAGGAGATTGTTCTATGGGTATGGAATGTCGTTTTTACAAGAAAAAAAAATTGTAGTCATTCTTTATTGGTTTTCTCATTACTAGCTAAATTACTATGTTGCACATAGTTTGATAAACTAGTTCTTACGCAGTAAAATATAGAAACCTCAAACTAAATAAAAGTTTGTTTCGAATGCACAGACTGAATTGAAACTGGAAAGATCTTCAATACTCTATTTATATAGTGGGATATAATCTATTCCTTGCTCCTTTTATTTAAGATGAATCAGATTGAAGATCAATCCATTTTTGGAAATAATTAAAATGGAAAAAAAATTCTAATTAGAATAATAGAATTCAGATAGTTGTTTTTTGCTCTTCAAAAGAAAGGTCAATGATAATACTAAAAAGGTAACCTAAATGAAAAAAGAACACGTTTGTTAACGAATACAGTAACAGAATTTTTAGTTTTTATACAGAATTTATAGTGAGTTATTATCTATCTGTTCTTCTTTTCCTTTGTTTAAAATGAGCCATATTGAAGATCAATTCAATTCTTGAAATATTTATTATGAAAAAAGAATTCAAATTCAGATAATTGAATTTTAATATAGTTGTTTTGGTGCTTTTTTTTAAAAAAAACTATGTTCAATGATAGTTTTATGAAGATTGCCCAAATAAAAAGTGGGTATGTTTGTTAACGAAAACATTTAGAGAATTTATAGTATTTATACAGAATTTATAGTCAGTCTTTATTACTTTTATTTAAAATGAGTCAGAGTTAATGATCCTTCCCTTTTTAAAAGATAATTTAAAGGAAGAAATTCAAATTAAGATAATTAAATTTAGATAGTTTTTTGAGCATATGAAAAAAACTAAGTTCAACGATAATATTTTAAATGTTGCCCAAAAGAAAAGTGGTCACGTTTGTTAACGAATAAGGTAACAAAATTTAAAATTTTTATATAGAATTTATAGTGAAGTATTATCTATTTCTTTGTTCCTTTACTAATGAGCCATAGTGAAGGTCAATCCCATTTTAGAAATAATTTATACGAAAAAATAATTCATATTTTGATAATTGAATTTAAATGTAGTTATTTTTGTTCTTTTGAGGAAAAAAAAAACAAGTTCAACGATATTTTTATAATGATTGCCTAAACGAAAATTTGATACGTTTGTTAACGAATACTGTAAGCAAATTTATAGTATTTTCCAAAATTTATTGTGAGCTATGATCTATTCTTAATTGCCTTTATTTAAAATGAGCTAGAATTGATGATCAATCCATTTTTAGAAATAATTTAAACGAAAAAAAAAATCTGATTCAGATAATTGAATTTAGATGTTTTTGTGCTTATGAAAAGGAAAAAAAACTAATTTTAACGAGAATTAAAAAAAAAAAGAAGTTGCCGAATTGAAACGTGGATGCGTCTGTTAGCAAATACATCCGTTTAGATTTATAACCACCGTTTAGATTTATAAAGAAAAGTAAAAGAAGTGGGCTACAAATGCTACAAATAAGATAAAACTGATTAATCAAACCTCATGAAAGCATTTTAGGTGGATGTAAATGTGAGGTAAGAATGATGTGACCAAAACACAGCATTGCTAAGTAGTTCCAATTTCAGCTACAAACCGTGATTGTACATTTCATTTATTAACGAGATTTAATGTATTTAATGGATTCACCAATTCATTGGAAATCGTGACGTTTGCTTGCTCTGGTCTTTGGTAGATAAGATATGGATATACGGCCTTCACGAAACTTTTCACACCATTCATTGATAGTTAAACCATTCATTCCGTTTGTACTCAAGAATGTTCGCCATAAACTGAAAACGATTGTTGATAAATGTCCGTGTTACGCGCATCTTCTGTCACTACAAATTGTAAAATTGTGCGTTGTTCTGTTCTGTATGCATCAATATTAGCACGATTTCTCAAGAAATATAATAATATCACTCCGAATTTGATCTTGAACAATCCAAAAAATTGTGTGAAGGTACATTTTTATTTAATTTAGCACCAAATCGAGCATTTATATAAACTTTCAGTGGTGTAATTAAATCCATACACCAATGATGTTAAATGATTATACCAAGCTCATGTGCATTCTCACCATTCGTGAATTATTTTCGCCTCCAAACTTGCCAATTTTGCCTTACTTTGGATAGCGTAAGAAGATTATTTACAATCGCGTACGAAATAGGGTAAATTTGTTGATGTCTTGAGCTCTGCAATACATCTACAGACCCAAAAGTTCACCGTTACAAAACGTGTGCATGTTTTTAGTTGCGTAATAGGAGCGTCAGTCACATGCAATAGATAATTTTATAGTATTTAGTATCCTTCTATCCATCCTCCAAATAATTAAAATTAGTAGATAAAGTAAGTAAACTGAAATTAATAGTAAAATAGTAAATTAAAATTAATAATTAAAATTAGAAGGTAAAATTAGTAGGCGGCTTTCTTTTTAGCTTGGGTTGTTATGTAAATTTTGGATTAGATTAAAGTTTTTACGCTGATTTCAGGAAATCTAAATGCTAAATTCCATAAAGACTTTTTAATTTTTACGTTGTATTCTGAACTTTTTATGTTTGCAATCTAAAATTTTATTTTATGCTTTTATAAAAATTTAAAATATGCATCTTTGATTTTAAAAAAAATGGAACTTTAGACCCAATGAGAGAGACCTAATTGTTTTTAAATTCAACTAAAAGAAATTTTTTTAATTATGTGACTACAGAGGCTACTTTTTATCTATTTGAAATTCGAATTTATGAAAGCAAATTTAAAAGCTTTGTTATAACTACTTCATATTCATTAAAAATATACAAAATGGAAATCACAACCGATATGTTTCAAGAGCCCAAAAACAAGCACCCATTTAAGGACTCGCCAGACGCGACAAGTCTGCGAGTCCGCCCGGCAAGTCTTGAAAATGAATGCCTGTCTTTGAGCTCTTGACGTCACAATTATTTCCAATTTGTATATTTTCGAAGAAAATAAAGTTTATAATCAAGTAATATCTTACAGCTTCAGTTAGTTGGGATTATTTACTTAGGATTGTCTTAACTAATCAATGTTATTTTAAAATATGGTTATATTTGTATAAATATTGTAACGAAATTATTTATTTTAAACAGGTTGGACTTATTATCTAGCTATTATTGGAACAATCGTAACTTTTATTTGTTCCTTGCTTTCAATTCAAGCCGAGGTCTCTACATCGAATACGAAAGTTCAAGAAGGGCTCATTGAAGGAAAAAACGTCATATGTTTCATATGATCATGAGCTACAGCATCACAAATCATTTCAACTCAAGATGCTTATGACAGTTTTTGCTTTGAAGAAGAGAATATTTTTTCTTAAATATTTCCACCCTACTGTGTGAAGCGTAAATAAAAGGATACTCATCCATGAGACAATCTAAAATAAAGAAATAAAATAAAAACATTAAGCTGAAAAAAATTAAAATTGATAACTTCATAATTCCTCGCTTTACTTGTTCTTTGAAACTAAAGTCTCATAATCTATAGATACGCGATGTCTTTTGTTTTAAATTTTATTTCTTTTCTGCACTTAAGCGTAAAGAGCTCTGTCCCCGTAAAAATTAATAAAAGATATTTGTTTTTATTTCAGTTTTCTTTTATTGATCTTTTACGTTATTGCACATGCTATGATACCTCATTATAAGTTTAAATATTTTCGGAGTCGAATTTCTTTTCGTTGGAAATATTTTTAAAAAGTGTTTTATAAATAATATCTTTACAGTATGTAACTAGTTTTGCTTAAAAAGAACCTTTATAGATACTTTTGGTGTTTATGATTCAGTTTCCCGTAAAAATTAATAAAGAAATTTTGTTGTTTTTTATCATAAATTTTTTACATTGTTGTTCATTCTATGGTAATTCATTATGTGTTAAATGAATACCAATCTGAAGAAATTGAAGTGGAAAGATCAACTTGAGAATACAAAAACTTTTTCAATAATCATTAAATAATCAATAATCATTAAAGTAAGAAAAAGTCGACATGTTTCAGAAACTCGAAAACAAGGCTCTTTTTCTTAAGATTTATCAGATGAGAATAAAAATATCAAAACAGATTATAAAGCATTTGGAATCGTGTTTAATTCATATAAATGGCGATTTTCTAGTAAAGGACATTTCCACGCCTCTATACTGCTTGGAAATGCATCACCTCTAATTTACATCTAGACCACTGTCATTTTTTCTCGAATACAGGGTTTTTTTTCTTTCTTTTGTTTCTTCTTTTTTTTTACCTTTATGACATTTTCCTTTGTTAATTATTTTGCATTTTCTTTTCTGAAATTCGTTTTGTTTATCTCATTTACCATTGGTCAAATTTTTGAAGCTTATAAAGTTTTTCTATTATTAAGTAACCCACTATGCATTATTAAATATTTATCATTATGTAAATAAGTTTGAGTTTAATTTCTTTCAGTTCAAATACCGACCCTTTTGTGAGAAAAAACCCCCCCACAAATAATCGGTCATTTTTTGAGTAGTAAACGAAATCGTTGAGTGTACAGAGATTTATGTACGTTGGGCAAAATGTAAATGGTATATATTCAAAATTATTAAAAGTGAGAGTTTCTAAAAGTATTTCTATCAAAAAAAATTGGAATTTAAAAATACAGGATCTATTATGCATTTACAAAAAGTATTTAACTATTAAATTGATAAATTAATGGCACTATTTAATGTATATATTAAAAAAATGTTTTATGTCATGAATTTCTTCTTGCTTGTCTTTTGTTTTTTAAAATGTATTAAAAAAATTAATTAAATTGATGTTTTTTTTTAGAACTTTAGCAGTTTTCTGTATTTTACCGGAGAGCTACATTGATATTTTTATTTACGAAATAAGTGATCTCGCAATTTTCAAAGGTGCTGAATATTTTTATCTCGTAAATGTCGAATGTAAATTGACTTTTAGGTCTCTAGTAATGTATGTTATACTACACTTAGGCCCCATTCACAATTTATCCGATCAAAGTTGGCTTCTTAGCTGCTCGGGCTAAAAAAGTTTTGAGCTGGTTGCATTATCATAATGGTGGAAATTTTTTTTAGTTCTTATTAAAGAATTATTTTTTTGGTGATAATTACCAAACATGTTTTGTGTGATTTTGAAGAAAAAAAATGACACTTGGTTGCAAAATTAAGAAGAATAAAATATTTACCGTGTTCATAATCACCACATTATAAGTAAATATATTTAAATATAAATCATGCAATTTTGAGTTTTTAATTTAAAAGTGAAAGGCAATACTAAAAAACTTTAAACAGATCTCTCAGAAAGTAAGCTTTTTTTAACCCTTTCGCTGTGTATCCCAATATTTCACCGGGGAAAGCGGAAGTAGCAAAATTCGCTCAAACAGCAATTTCCGCGGGAATGCTCTTTTTTTTCTTCCTTTTTGACCATTTAACTGGGCAACTTGCTTTTTTCCCGTTCCCTTTTTGCTTTTGTGTGATTCTTAATAGCTTATTCAGATCTGGGTTAATAGATTACCATATTTCTGCGAAATATATAACCATGTTTTGCAGATTTTTTAGAACTCTTTTCAAAGTGCACCGTTTGTTTTTGAAAAAAAAATTTTTTTTTCTGCAAAGATTATAGAATAGAACTTTGCCGCGAACCTTGTTTAGAATTTTATCATGCCGAAATTCACTTCTAATAAATTTTTTTGCATATTTTCATTAGTATACACGGTTTAACTTTGTATTTCATAAAATAAAACATAATTTTCAAAATTATTTTTCAAAATTTTGCTTTTATGTGAATATTCTTCAATTTCCGTTTTCCCACAACCTTTTTTATGATCTTAGAAAAAAAAAACTTTTCGCAAATTTTTTTTAATATTACAGCTCAAAACTATACGTAGATTTGAAATATATAATAAAAAGTGCGCAATTTTTAAGCCTATTATGATAAAAAATATGGCAACCAGATACTCATCCTGTATGGTAGGAAAATGGTGGAAGTTGATTAACTTAAGCTTTAAACCAAAGCTAGCTTTAAACCAAATTCCACGGACATTTTTCTTTTAACTCGATAAAATTCATCTATGTGAATGTAGCCTTAATTTATCTTTTAATCATTTTTTCAGATATCTTTAAACAAATAAATGTGTGGTGCTGGTATTTTGAATTTATCTGCACCATAATAGTATGTTTCCTCTTTTTAAAATCTGTCATTTTAAAGTTCTACTTAACTTATTAACTTTTAATTTGAATATTTTTTATATTTGTTTCTTTTTTCATAAAATCTTGATGTTTTTTGCACGGTATTGTTTAGTTGTAAATTATACTTTCAAATTGTTATACTTGTAATATATTGAAAATTCATATCGTCTATAATGTAAAAATACTTGTAAATAACTTTAAAGTTATTGATTAGAAACTAAATGACCATTTTGTTATTTTACATAGAATTACAGCAGTTATAATTACATAATTATATAAATTGTTTATTGAATAACTGAAGTTTTATAAGAACAATTTAATAATGTTTTTAGTGAAGTAAATATCTAGTTCAAAAGCTAATTAAATTTATTTACTTTGTTAAATTGCTCTTAACCACAAGTATCAAGAGAATATTTATTGATCTGTGTTTACTGTATTAAGTATTTTATACTCTCTAAATGTAATAAAATACTATAATATCGTTCTCGGCTTTTTTAATAAGAACATTAATTTTTGTACAATCATTCAGCAGTACACTTTACATCACACTTCACACGCAGTACAAGCATCAATATATTAGCATGAGTCATGGTGACTCAGAGGATAGTACACAGCCAAACTATAAGGTGACCCGGGATCGTATCCCAGCAATTCTGCTTCCGGCTCGCACCGACTGCAGTGCTGACATAAAATATCCTCTGAAAGACGGATCATGGGCTAGAGTCCCTTTGCCGTCATGCTCCTCGTAGAAGGTTTTCATGATTATTCTCTCCATGTAACACAAATGCGAGTTAGTTCCATCAAAAAGTAGGCAATTTCCCCCCATTTCTTGATCTAAGAGTTCCCTTGTCTTCTGGATTGAGTTCAAAATTATAAGGCTTCGGAGTTGAGCATAGGTACTCGTGAACTCAAAACTGGGTCTGCTGCTCAAGAACGGTTATAAAATGTGTTAGCATTCTAATGAATAATATTTTTCGATGACCAGTTTTAAAATTTTGTTTGTACTTAAAAAAATTTCAGCAAAATTTTATATCTTAGAATCAGTTTTTGGTGCATTTGAAAATAAAGTAACACGATTTGTCTTATTTTATCCAAAAATTTAAGGGTCATTACCGCGAAACGATATATTAATTTAACATTTCTTTTATGCGAAACAGAACAAAATGAAAATATAAATAACAGCTAGCGGAAAGAAATTCTTTAAATAGAATGAATTCTCAGAGAGTTAAAAAGAAATAAATCGGAAACTTCTTGCGTGTCAGGATGTCATTAATATTCTAGAAATGGCAATACTCCAAATTGTTTGAAGTTAAAAAGGGCCCAGAAAATAATCTTACTTATAGATGCTATGTATTTGATAACATGAAGAAAAGGCTTTCTTTATTTTTCATATTCAGCCCTTTTAATAGCTTACTTCCTTTACTTTTTTTTTAAGAAAAATGGTTTTTGGCTCTGATTAGTTTAATTCATAGGGTCGTCTCAATACGATTAGATATTAACAGATAAGTAAAGACTTTGTGTTATACCAAACCTGAATGAATTTTGTTCCAGTGGACGGTTTTATACGTAGTTAGTATTGTTTAGAAATAGAAAATTTATTAGTTCTAAGCGAGAGTTTGGGTCCCTGTACGTTAATATTATGTTTTGCATATTTCGCCTTAACTCGAGATTATTTTTAGTAAATCAGAGAATATTTGTACTTAATTATAAAACTATTTATCCGAAGATAATTCCACTCAAAATAATTCTTAAAAATATTTATTTTTTATTATTTTATTTAGTAATATCCAAAAAAAATTAATTATAGGATATATTGAGAGTATAAATTAGTTTGGTCGGTTTTCAAAAGATGGCTCTGGTTGTTATGAATGTTTCATAGGGACAGCTGATTTCGGCGGTTTTAGAGAAGTTAGACATCTGTCAATAATATTCAGTTTATATCGTTTTGAGTTTCATACATAAACCCTGTTTTTTAATTTGTTAAATATGCCAAATTTTGTGGTAACTAAGCAGCATTTGAGAGAGGCTTTATGTTTCTGCTTTAATTTTAAGAAAAGTGCAGTTGAAGAGCATCAAATGCTTGTAGAAGTTTATGCTGACAATGCTCACAATGATAAATAATGTAGGGAATGGTATCGACGTTTCAAGAATGGAGAATGTAGATGGTGAATGGTGAATGTAGAATGATGGATGGTGTTGCATATTATGAGCTGCTACACCTGCTACTACCTGGTGATTCCATTACGAGCGAACGGTATAGGCTACAATTGATTCGTCTGAGCGGTGCATTACGAGAAAAACGGCCGGAATACGAGCAAAGACAAGGCAAAGTTAGTCTTCTGCATGATAACGGTTGACCTCAAGTCGCAAAAGTCGAAAAAAATTATTTGGAAAAGCTCAAGCGGGATATTTTGCCGCATCCGCCGTATTCGCCGGACATTGCTCCTTCTGATTACTGGTTGTTCCGACGGATGCAGCATGATTTTGTAGATCACCGGTTTACTTCTTTCGCAGAAATCAAAAATTGTTTCCTAACTTGGATCGCCTCAAAAGACGAGACATTTTTTCGAGATGGAATTCAAAAAATGCCTGAGAGGTGAGAAAAATTAGTAGCCAGCGATGGGCATTACTTTGATTAATCTTTTGATTCATTTCGTTCTGAAATAAATGCAATTTCGACCACAAAAAACGGACAGAACTAATTTGTACTCCCAATACATATGTTTATAGCATTTTTAAACAACAGTTTTAAATAAAAAAAGAAAAAGAAATTGAAAGAAATTTGCTCATTTTTTAAAAAAAATTAAAATTTGAAAAATAATTTTTAGTTTCTGAGGAATTGAAGTTTAAAGAAAATGTACATTTAAGATTCGATTGCTTATGAATTATTCAACTAATTTTGCTCAATTTTGTATTTTGCCATGTAAAACTATATTCTTTAAAATAAGGTAAAAATTGTATACCTTACAATTCAAGATTTTTCGCCTATTATTTAATAAAATAATGAAAAATAAGAAATATTTACCAAAATTTATTTTGCATGAAATTATCTTTGGTTAAACGAATTTTATTATTGTGCGCAAAGATTTTTCAATTCGCTTTAAAATGTTCTCGAAATATGGCGAAATAAGCAAAAAGTAAAATTAACATTAAGGGGTCCAAACTTTGGATTACTCTCCTGACCAAACTATGGGGACCATATTTCCCAGATTGCGACTACCCCCTATATCTTAGGGAGTCATAAATCCAATGAAAAAGAAGGTACGTTTGTTTAGAGTAAGTACGTTTTTGTGTCAGATTTCATAACTTAAAATATCGTCTGCATTCATTTAGTTAATATATTCGAGGTCAACTTCACGAACCATTAAATTTGAGTACTAAAACGTGAAGATCTGTTCATTACAACAAAATTTATTCAGGGTGGTCCATTTTTTTAAAAAATTTATTTACTTATTTATTTTTTGGCACTGAATATTGCGCTTTAACTTTATCAGGAAGGCACTGAAAATTAATATCTCAGTTTTCCTCCACGGAACCTATATTTTTAGAACAGAGTTAATTTTTAAAATTGTGGCATACACTGTAAAACATTTTGGTGCATATTTGCAACTAGTTTTGGTGTAGAGGTAAACTAAAATTTTTTACATTTCATGTAGTCACAATTTTTATTTAATTTATGTTTTTCACTGTTATAATTTAATTTATTTATTTATCCAATTTTTGTTTATTTACTTATTGAAAACACATATTTTAATTCACATTAGAATAAATTTATGGCTCTACAGCAAAAACATTTCGTTTAAAAAACTAACACATTTTTAGTAATATATTCACACTAATTCTTTCAAACAATAGTTATTTTGCCAATTTACTACAGTTCTGCACTTAAAAATGTATTTAATTTAGAACAACCAAAACTGGGGTCAACTATAAATCAAGTTTTTACAGTGTGCTCTTTACATTGGAATTGAAAACTTTCTACCCTCCTGAAAGTTGAGCCCTTAATAATGGCAAAAAAGTTTGATTTTGGTTTATGTATCTTAGAATGCGGCAAACTTGCAAATGTGATAAAAAAGTTTCATTAATTAAACTTAATTATTATTTTCAAAATCATTTTTATCAGTGCACAAAATATATTTTTTTTTCTGCATCTTTTTATTATATTTCTTCACATTTTGATCATGATGCAAAATCCACTGAAATAATAAAATATCTATGCACAAAACTATTCGAAAATTTACTTTTATCAAATTTCATACCATTTTTATTATTTTTATAAGTAATTAAAAATGATGACCAACGAGAGTTAAGCCAAATATATTTTTACATTTCAATCCCTTTGTCAGGATGTACAAAGAGAAAAAAAATCTTAAAATATTATTTTTATGTGGTATAATTACACCAAATGCCGTACAATATATATGGCACTAGGTTTCAGGAGATTAAGTAAACGAGTTTTGTAAATTTTATAGAGTGCGTGAGATTTGTCTCGTGAATATGAATTTTCTAGAATGCATGATTGTTTGATGCTTGTATATAGTTCCAGAGAAGTCTTAAAAATTCCAGTACAGATGATTCACAAAATTATAATAAACACTAAACTATAATCACTAAAAAAATTATTTTGTTAATAATGATTTAAACTGGTTTATAATAATTATTCAAAATCATCGTCTTTTTTTTTTTTAACCAAATCTAAATTCGTCTAAGATTATTATCAAACAGCGTGGATCAAAAAATTACGTGTAACTTCTTGAATTATTTAAGCAATAGTAGATTTCAAATCATCAATTTTTAAATTCTTACCTTCTAAACTAGAGATTTTTTTTTAAATATATTCTCAAAAAAATAAATAAATAGAATAGAAAGAAACAGAAGGAATTAGATATGGTAAAATTGTCTTAAGATGAGGCGAGCACCAGAAACTTTGAAGCACGTTCATGTCTTCGTTACTTGCATCTGTGCGGCATGTCCTTTGCATTGCTAACTATGCAGCAAAAAATTTGGCATAATCGTATATTTAGTTTTTAGTACTTTCTATTTTATTCCATAACTATATAGCAGCCGATTAAATTCTGAGTTTACAACTATTAATGTTCTTTGTACCATGTAATTTTGTGTACCTTGTACCTTGGAATTTCGGACCCAAACCAGAGGACAAGGGCACTCCTGGATTAAGCATTTGGAAAAACTAGCCTTTATGGAGGACTTTTTCATGAATCTAACCTGCATTTGCGTTACATGGAGAAGAAAAACACGAAAAACACGAAAAACTTAGCCCGACGACAAGGGGATTCTAACCGCTGATCCGCCTACCACTGAGGCACTGATGAGACCACGTTAGCACTGTGGTCGGTGCAAGTCGGGAGCAGAATTCGTATCAACTAGCCACCTCTGGAATTCGAACCTGGGTCACCTCATAGGGAGGCTAACGTTCTATCCTCTGAGCCACCGAGGCTCAAAGGAATCCAGCTTCGCCTTTTA